GGTATTGATTAGAATTATTACAATTATTGACATTATTGATTAGAATTATTATTATTATTGATTATCTGCAAGAATTCTCCTCCGGACAGTGACTGCGCAGAGCTCCACTGAGGAAGATACTTGGCGGAAGAAATTCCACCAGCCAGCATGTTAATTTGTGCTGGATCTCACTTTCCAGCAGGGGAGAAACTCCTATCAGGATATAACATGCTCAATGCTCATAACCACATTAGTTGATGCATTCGCAAACTCTAATTAATCTACTATTAATTAAACAATCTAGCATATTTTAACGTATTCTATGCACGGCAAATTCAAAAATTGTTAAAAATTATTTGAAATTTCTCCTTTTGTTTTCAAAAGTTTTGATTTATATCCACAAATATGCAGAAACCTTCATTAAGATTTTTTTTTTTTGCCTTTAGGAAAGTGCATTCAATTGCAGTAGTGCAATTTAATAATTTCGAAGCACCAATTAGCCAATTTATCCTATTTCATACAGATTTGGGCTCTACCAATAACATTAATTTTGACTTACAAACAAGATTGTGAAACTATTTTAATTATGAATGCTGACATGTTAATACCTGAGAATGCATATTTAAAAATGTAGTTTTTGACCAATTCATTGTAATTTTTTATAACAATATTTTCTCAGGTTGCTAATTAATTCTAACAAATTTTTCACATCTTCTAAAAGTAAGCAAGGTAATTGATATTCATTTCATTTGTAAACAATCTTATATTCTCTGAGTTCTCCCTTGCCATGGACATCAAGAGTCAGGGAGAATATCTTCCTATTACAAGCCACAATCTTTACTGATTTTAAAATTCAACAAATTTCATTCGATTATTACACAAAATAATGGATTGTTATATTTATTCTTTCTAAATGGAATGTTGGTTTTTGAATGTTTTAAGTTTGTAGACTTAAATTTGTGTGTGTGTGTAAATTATCATTGTTTTAGTTTTAAATTGTTAATCGAGTTTTGTCAGGAAGTTTTTGCTCTGCTCTTCATGATTATTCAAGACATTTTCTATGTGCATTTAAAATCAGAAGTTGGCTATTCTAATGAGATGAACCTTTGATGCATTGTGTAAACTCATTGTAATTATAGATAGTTTCCATGTCTCCTTAGACAACAATTGATGATAAAGGCAATTGCCGAATATATGATAAAAGTATTAATTCCTAAATATCAATGTGACAAAGTGAAAGAAAGTAACATCAGAATATACTCGTGAATTACTTACCTGTTTTGGGGAAATATGGTTTCATAATTCTTGAAGATTTTTCATTCTATGATTCTGAAAATGCATTTTCAATGATTTTAAATGTAATTATATTTTTATTTATAACATGGTTTTTTATATTCGTTCTTTGCAGTAATGGAATTTCAATTCTGTTAAGAAAATATGTTTTCAATGACTTTTCAAATTAGAATTAACGTTCATCTTGAAAATGTTATTTCTTTGACTGAATTTTGTTTTGACATAAATGTTTTTATTCTAAGTATCTGCATGGGGTAGCCTGATAACAGAAAGACCCTAGCTGCTCAGATGTTTTTGTGTTTAATTTTTTTCCTGGCATCTTGATAAAGGAAACAACAATGATCCTTGATATATTTTTGAATTCAGTTAGTAATTTTGACCTGCAAGTAATTCTAAACAGTAGAGTTTGGGCAATTGTGTTACTCTGTTTGCCCTGAAATTACTAAAATTGAAACTAACAGTACGAACATACTTATCAACATAAAAGCCATGTAAAATTATAATAATAAAAAGATTTAATTGTTTTAATCTTCTGCTCATCAAATAATATTCATGAAAAGCAACATGTTCTAAAACATGTGATTTCATGAGAAACTTTCACTTCTTACAGCTTATATTACAAATAATTTATACATCTGAGTAACACTAAAAAGAATTTGTTGCCTTAGATGAAAGGGCCTTGTCCTTTCAATTACTCCAACCTTCACATTGAAAACTATTTTATCTTTCAAAATCCACAAATACCACAGGAATGTCATAGAAAACAATATTTATAAAATAGTTTTCTGTATTGCAAAAACTTAAATAAGTATCATTTGTGTAAAACTGAAGATAATGTGTTACATAAAAAAATCTTTTTCACTGTAATGTTTTGTCCATTTTACAGGTCCCAAGAATTTTCATTGATATCTCAGAAGTGTAATTTTTGGTTTATCTATGCACAAAATCTGGTACAATTTAATGCAAACAAAATGTCAGGGGAACAGTACTGATCTTGAAAAGCAGTAATGATAGTGATTTTGTGTAATAAATCATAAGTAATTGTGAAATATTTAATTAACTTGGTGTTACTCTAGAAGTCGTGTGGAAATCCATAGGGATTGATGAAAAGAAGTAATATCCCATCATAAAAACTATTAAACAAAAAATATTTTTACTGCGGAAGATTACTTCAAACTTATCTATGTGAACGCTTGATCTTTTTAAAATTTGTTTAATAAATACTAGCAATATTTTTAGGAATTAATCATGAGTGCCCAAATATTATTGCTAATGTTTAATAAAATTCATAGTCAGTAACATAACTAGTGTGACTACAACAGCACATGAACTATCTTTATTTGTAACTTTAAACTAGATTTGACCATTTAACCACCTTTCCTTTGCCTGGCAAAAATTTGAGGCCATTTTTGAGATTTTTCTTTTTAAATTTTCCTTTTCTTCAAGCAAAAATTACAAGAAAATTATTTGTGTTTTTGTTTTCTTAAATGTACATGATCTTATTTCAAAATCTATTTTTTTAGAACATTTCATTCAGGAAAAAATCTCTTTACTCAAAATTGAAGTTTTGCAATGTTAATTTTTTCAAAAATACAGAGAATTGTTATACACTGAAAATGGCTGCTACACCAATTTTATGAGAATTGTTCCCACTAGTCAAGAAAAAATTAATGAAAAACTTTGGAAACATTTTTTATTAAATCATTATTTAAAAATTGTTTATATTTCATGCAAAATTATATGAAAACTACGAACAATTTTAAATATTGTACATGACTGTGTCTTTGAAGACCAGAGTTCGTTAGGAGGTGTTCATAAATTACATTATACAAATTTAATACATATTTTATACCCCCTCTCTCCCCTGCAAACTTGAATCCCCATAAATAATTATGTAATGCTTGCGAACATACCCCAACCTTTTACAAAAAGTAAATATAAATTATATAATAATGAAAATGATTTGTATTAATTGTGTTATATATTAAAATTAATGAAAATTAAATCTTCAATACTGTAATTGTAGGAAGTTGCTGAGAAAATTATGAACTTTTGCAATTTTCGGAAAAACTGAGTTCAACGAAAATGGGACCTGTGTCATTTTTATAAGCTTATGTTGCTCTATCTGAGGAAAAAATAGTAAAAAAAAAAAATTTGAATCCAGTTTTGAGAAAATTTTTAAAATGTCATTGGGGCTTTGTGTTAATTACCCCCCAAAATCAAAATATCTATTTCAAATTTGAATGGCCTATGACAAAATTATAAGGAAATATGAATTTTGGAGAAAGTCATGTGAACGGGTTAGGTGCTAAGGTTGACCACAGATTTTGCCATAAACCAATTTTTTGGTATCTTGGACCCATAAAATGTAGATTCTGACAACATAATGTATTAGAAAGTTTTTATTACTATAGAAATAAGAATGAACCACCTATTTGGTATTAGGGACCACAAAACCAATTTTTATGTAGAAAAATTGCTACTTTTTGCTACAGCTTTACAGTGCTTTCTCTATATTATGTAACTAGTGTGGAAAGAAGTAATGGTAGAATAAAGAGAAAAATCATTGGCAAAAAAATTGTGACATCAATTTTTGTTTTCATTACTTTGTGCAAGATAGAAATTGTAAAAATATTCCAAGTAAATAGCTGGGTACCTTTCCATCTTTCAGACCAAGAAATGTGATTAAAGCCCATTACTTTCCTTTTTAGTTTTTTCATTGAAATTGGATGAAAGAAAAAAGTGTATTGCATATTATTTAAACTGTTCAATTTAGAAATAAAATGTAATTCATATGTTTCATATATAAGTGTATGTCTTATTTCAATTGAAAATCAAAACCCAAAAATTGATATTCTACCTTTATTACCATTAGTGTGTCAGTTTTCAAATATTCTGCTTTCATTTCTCTGTGCAATAAGCAGATGAATTAATATTTGAAGTTTAAACATATTTAATTTCTGGTAGGCATATTTTCAATCCAATGTTATGAATTGAAAGACACTATTGGCTCTTTTTGTTAAGCTATATAGTTTTGATATTTCCTTGAAAATGATTTCTTTGTTCTGGACAAACTGGATGCACTGGATCAACTGCATTTGAAAAATTGTTTTTAAATAATATGTTAGAAAAATATTATTCTGACATTCTAATTTTTCAACTTTTGCTCTCTACCATGAAAAGGATGTCTATTATTTATAGTCTCAATAAGCCCATGCAAAGAGTTCCAAAACTTGTGTTAAGTGCAAATTTTACTGTATATACTAGCTGTTTCTTTAAATAAGTTAGGTGGCAAAATTTCACTGTGACAGGTAAAGAATCTGTGTTTTTGCTGTACATTGTTAAATAATACTTCATGTAATTTCCAAGTATGGGGTTACATTGTAAACTTCCAAACACAAATAAAATATCATCTTCAAAAGGACTTCATTCTGCTCGTAGAGTCAATTTTCTGCACAGTATTTGATATATGTAGTAATGGAAATCAAAATTGACTAATGAAGTGGCAACAATTAAACTTGAAATTTACGATATTCTAGTCAGTCTTTTGGAAAAGTAAACCTGCATCCAGTTTCAGGTTTACTTGAATATAACTGAAGAACTTTTTCACTGACTGTTTTAATATTGCACATTGATTGATAAATTAAATATTATCCTACAATTAATACCAGTACTGCTTTTAAATAAACTTAGCAAATAACATAAAATAAAATAGATTGTAGGATGATTCACTGAGAATGAATTGTTGCAATTTTTCTCAGGAAATTAATCAAATGATATTTGTCTTTATGTGAACACAGTGACATCAACTTGTGCTTCCCAGTTATCTGGCATCAGAAAGTAAATGCAAACTTCCTTCCAGTACAAACTTTTTGTTCTAAGTTTCCTATAGTTTTATCCTTATTTCACTAGTGACAAATAAAATGAAATTCTTTGTATTAGTGTCAAAGAGGAAGAGGATAGCTAGATGTGATATCTAAGTTTTTGTAAAACATATTTCTTTTTTAGAGAACAGGTTTTAAGGATAGTGTCTTTTATCTAAGAATGTTACAAATTATTTTTAGAAAAAAATACACAATACAATCAATTAGTTATAATTGTGCCCACTTAATGGAGTGTTTAAATAACATTAACGCTGAAGAATGGAAGATTGATGAAAGAATGTGTTAAGTATGCATGACAGGCCTATTGCACAAAACTCATCGAAGCACAGCCTTAAATATTTACCTGTGCTAAATAGGGCTAACTTAAAAAGCTTCATTTAATTTTTATCCAAGACTTCTGCAATAATGAAAAGGAAACATACAATGACAATATTTCTTCAAGGTATAATGCATGAAGCTATTGACTTAAACTGTTATTTTGACAGAAAATGGATGTCCATATAACATTGCACATTATCATGAATAGATCTTGCTTTTGTTTACAAGATTGAGTAAAAGTAAGCTTTGTCTAGCTAGCATAAACATATCACAAAACTCTAAATGATATGTTATTAAATATTAAGAATTAGCCATGAAAATATAAAAGCATTATTTCAAAGAGAAACAGAATGCAGTTAATTGCGTTTTCACTTATGTGTGTATATACAGCTGATAGTTCTTTATCTTTCATTTACCAGAATTGTCAATATATATAGTTTTGTTGCTTCAATTGACAGTTTTATTTTTACTCAGTTGGTAATAACCATAACCAGGGTTTTGTGACTAATTTTTTATTAGTTGATGACCTTACACTTGATTTCATAAAAAAAATCATGTCCATAGCTTTATGCATTTCTCAGTGAACATTCTGGAATATCCAGAACCAAGAATTTTAGGTCTATACACAGTCCAGGTATTTACAAATCTCTTAAACATAATGTCTTAAAAGGAATTAACTTTCTGACTATAAACAATATTCTGATATACAAGTGCCCTAACAAACAACTCTCGAGAAAGAACAACATAAATATACAACATAATGGAAATGTACAGTTGCAACAATACACTTAATTCCTGAAGTTTTATATCAAGCATAATATATCCACCACTTTCTTTCTGTGGATAGAAAGCAGCAAGGATAAACAATCCTATGAAGCATTCTCTCTTTATGTTACGGACTAGAAAAAACCTGAAAAAGAGTAATAATAATAATTTTATAAACCTTGAAAATAGTATATGATAAAGATGCATGTAATGATTAAATCACATACTACATAAAGCCAAAAGATGAACATTGAAATACTTATGTACAAACAAAATATAATTGAAATAAATAAAAATAAATAAATGATTATCATGCTTTGAATACAATGCACTATTTTAATTTTCTTAACAACTCAGAAAATAATCAAAAGAACAAAACATGCATGAATTATTGAAAACATGGGCACCAAAATAATAATATCACAAAACACAAATGAATTTCAAATGTGAACTAATATTTAAATAATAATGAAACTTAACATTCAAAATAGTATTCTTTGCAAAATCATTGAACATTTATCTATAAGGGGCAAATGGACAACAAGTTGTAATTGTAGAAAAATGCAAATGTCAATTTTATAACTGAAACAAGGTGAGAAAGAATTTGAATGTTTTTTTTCTGTTGAATTAATAATCAAAATAACCAACAATTAAAAAAAAAAGAAGAATAAAAATGTATAATCACACACAATGTACCTGTACATTGTAGCAAACTTTTCAATTGAGTTTTGATATTAAAATTTATAACAAAAGGATTTAATTACATAATATAATTTATTGCTCTAGCTTAAAAAGTTTAGGAGTGAATGTTCTTCCTAAAGTTGTTAATCATAGTTTTATTTTGAATATCTGAATTTGGTCTCAAAGTATGAGAAGGATATGTACAAAAATATGGAAAATTGCTACTCCTAGATAGCAAAAAGCATGGCACTTTTCAATGGAATGATAAAAGAAACAAACATCAACATAAAACCATAAACATAATAATTGTACAAATATTAACTTAAATTATTATTTTAAAGGGTAACACAATATTCATCTGTGAAGAGGGAATGGGTTATGTGAAATTTTAACATGCAATGTACAGTACAAGAAGTAAGTGCTGTGGACAAGACAGGAAGCAGTGCAATAACTAACTGTTGTGCGTATAAGTACTGTGCAGGTTAATATAAAAAGTATAGTACTCAAATTGCTTCTGTTGTGCTGTAATTTATACTTGAGCAACAAAGTTTGCTAAAAGTCAAGTCAATGAAAAAAATATTTAGTGTCCAACAAAAGTCACTGCAAAAGCATTGAATAGGTAAAATGAAAGTTCAAATATACATGTTTAAAATGAAGAAATATTAATTTTTGATCAGCTTACTTTAAAGCCATTAATTTAGGTCTGCTACACAAAATTAACAAATTCATAATTATATCAACACAAAGAACATCTTTCTACAACTAATTTTGGAATCTGCATGCATACTCAAAGTTTTCAATGCTATTACCTCACTTTTCTTCTTCAAAGTTGAATGAATCAAATGCCTTTGTCCAATTGAAGGGATCACTTGAATTATTATTTACACTAGACTTCTCTGACGTCCGTCCTTGTTCAGATTTTGGTCGGGGAAGTGTGGCGGACATGTCACTACTAAAGAACTCATCATCAAATGGATCACTTTCACGAGCAAAAATGTTAATAGATTCTGATTTTCGTAAACTCGAGGAAGAGTCAGCTCGAAGTAAGTTAGACATCCGACCTTTAATGGCTGTGTAATGTTTTTCAGATTTATTTGTGTCTTCACTATTCCAGAGGTTTCCAGTCAGCCTTTTCTCAGTACGTTTACTGTCTGTCAAAGGTTTAGTTGGAGCCTGAACTTCACTTATACTAGTACTTAAACTACTACTCTCAAAGTCTGCAAATACTTGCTCTCCAACAGAATGTCCTGATTCAGGAGCACTGTCTGGTGGAAGGAACACATCATCATTGACTTTACCGTTTTTTTGTTCATTTTCACTTTCACACTCATTCTCCTCCACAACACTTTCAACCCTGCAGCTACTTCTAACATCCTCAAAAGGGGACTTCCTATGATCACTTATGTCACTAGATATACTAGAAATGAGCCTTGCACTGGCATGTCTACTTTCAGGGGGAGTAAAATCATCTTCAAAAGGTGACTGTCTATGACTTGACCCTCGAGAAGCTCGTGTTTTACTCTGATCCTCAGGGGTGGGGGAATTTTGGTGTTCATGCAAGCTACCTAAAACTTCCCTAGTTTTTGTTTCATTTTCCATTACTTGCCCCTCTTTTGACTTTGCAATTGGTTCAGCAGGCATGGAGGTTCCTGATGGAGTAATACTTTGGTTAGGTGGTGCTGGGGACTTTTTTTTTGTGGGATCACTGACTTCTGGTTCTCCAGGTTGACTTTTACCGACATCTGCAAATTCAAAGGCTTGCATTGAAAAATCATCATCAAAAGGTGATTTCTGGCTGTAGGACCAATCTCCAGATTTTTTATGTCGAGGAGGTCTTCTAGGATGCAATGTTTGAGATCTCTGCTCGTATCCTTCTCTCTCTTGACGCCTAGGACGTTCTGGTGGCCAGTAATCATATTCTTGATCAGATCCAAAATGGCCTTCTCTACTTCTAGGTCTAGATCCACTTTTATCACGATATCTTCGTTCAGGATAGCCGTACCCTGGAATTTTTTCTGGACCATCTGGTCTTGGCACATTTGGTAACGAGTGCTGCTGCTTCTCCATCATTCTTGACTTATATTCACTAGGAGAACTTTTATCTATTGTCCTTCGCATTTCAGAGGCACTACTAGGCCTTTTTGGCCAGTTTCTTTTTCTAGTTTGATATCTAGGTGATTCATCTTCTCCTTGTTCACTGTATTCATCTTCCCAGGGTGATTCTCGAGATCTGTCCCTATAATACCTGTGCTTCCTGCGAGGAGCATGTTCGGGTCTGGCATACTCTTCATCTGGTGCTCCATATCTTCTACTCCATCCATACCTGCCATCAAGTTCATAATCTTTTCTCCATCGGTAATCTTCTTCACGTTCTCCTCTGTATCGCCTTTCACCATATTCACGAGCATATCGTTCATCTTCATCCCATGAACCAGATTCCCAACTGCTACGCCTATCACCTTCCCCGACACCTCCACCACTAACACCCACTCCACTGCCAGCACTGCCACCACCTACACTGCCTGGACCTCCTCCTCCACCACCACTACTCCCTCCTCCTCCTCCACCACCACCACCACCACCACCACCGCCACCACCACCACCACTTCCACAAACACCAACACCACTGCCACCACCACTAACAGTGCCACCACTAACGCCCCCACCTCCACTGCCTACACTTGCAGTACTTCCTGGCGGTGGCCCTCCAGCCCATGGTGATGCTTTGCGTTTCCTTCTCTCTTCATATTCTGATCCATTAATATCTCTGGATCCATACCTTCTGTGTCTTTCATCATCCCAAGATGAACCTCTATGCTTTGGCCTGCTTTTCCAAGAAATATCATATTCTTCTTCTTCCTCTTCATCATCTGCTGATCTTTCTGGCCATCTCTTGGCCTGTCCTGGTATTGGACCTGCCCAATTCTCTTCATCTTCGTCATCTTTACCTTCTTGTTCCCATGGGGAAGGATCTCTTGATGATCTCTGGCCACGTTTCCAGGGAGATACTCGTCTTCTTCTTCCCCGCCTCTCTTCATAATACATCCTATCTCTGTAAGGTGGCATATCATCATAAAATGACTCACCATCACTCCATCCATTCTCTCTCCAAGGTCTCTCCCACACTCCTTCATCTGGACGGCGTTCATCCCATCCTTCTTCTGACTCATCATCTTCATGCCAATGAGCAGGCCTACGAACACGTCGTCTTCTTCCTTTATCTATTTCTTCTTCAGTGAGTTCACTAGGATGTGCCGATAGCTGTTTGTTGAATTCCTTTCCATCTGATGACCATGGTGAAATGACACCTTCACTTTGACCTTCTGATGTTTGCTTCTCCGCTGGGAAAGTGCCGGTGTCAAACTTAGCCCAGCCTTCTGAAGTTTCTTCTAGCTTGCTCTCTGGTGGTGAAACTTTACTACCTTCAAGCTGTTCTGGTGACTGGTTACTTGAATCTTTTTGATTTTGTGGAATTTCTTCCTTGCTATTTACAGTAATTTCAACTGGACTTTGTGTTTCCTTTTTACTCACCTCTGTAGGTTGAATGGTTTCCTCTGAGATTGTTGATTCTGCTTCCAAGGCATTTACATCTTCTTCAAATATTGTGCTTTCTATTATGGATTGAGGTTCTCTGGGTGGTGGGGCTTCTATTGTTGGAGAATCTGTACCTTCACTTTGTTGTCTGGAGAGTGATAGAAGATCATAGTCTTCATCAAGTTTTGGAGTTTCTGTAGGACCTTCTTCTTTCTCACTAGATGTATCAACATCCTCTTTTTCTCCATCATTCTCACCCAAGGATATTTCTCTTAAAGCTGCGTATCTGTCCTCAGGGGTTTTTTCAATTTTTGGATCTTCTACTGAAGATTTCTTCTCTTCTATTACATCAAGATTTTTAGTATTTTCTGTTTCTTGTTCAACTTCTGAAGTTGACGGTGCTGTTGTTGATGCTTCTTCTTGTTTTTCTTGACCAATTAGTTCACGAAAAACAGCATATTTGTCAAAAGGTGTTTCTTGAAAAACGTCTTCCAGTTTCTCCGAAGACGATGGTTCAAAGTTTGTTTCAAAATCTGCTTTAAACTCTGGTTCTTCATCAACTGATTCTCTTAAAGCATCATATTTATCTCTTTTAATGGCACTGGCTTCTGACTTGAGATCTTCAATGTTGTTATCTGCTGCTTGGAGCTTGGCAAGGCACCTGGTGAGATCTTGTAATGTCATATTGGATAGGTGCCCAGGGGAAACACCGAGAGCAGCAGCTAAGTCAGCTAAGCCAGTTTTTGTAAGTTGACTAAGGGTTATGTTCAAAGAAGAAGCAGAAACAGGCTGTTTGACATGATCACTTGCAGGAGTTGTGGTTGAGCTTGAGGAAGATTGAAGAATTGAAGCAATTGTGGTCATGACAGGTGTGCGAGGTTTGGAAGTGGAATGACTCTTGCCGGCATCTGCAGCAGGACTCTTCTTCTGGGGCGGAGGAAGGATAGGGATAGGTGGCAAGTAATCTGGTTCACTTGCAGAAGCAGTTGACTGGTATTGCCTCCTGGGCCTCTGAGGGACTTCAGAAAGGTCTGCATCTCCAAATCGAGGGCGACGAGCAGGAACAGGTATAGGGGGACTTTTGATCTCTTCCACTTCCTGTGGAGTGGGTGAAATGGATGTTTCATAGTTCTCGATGTAATCATAATGTGGATGATCACTATGAGGTGGTCGAGGGGGTGGTTTCATTATGTTTCCAACTTGTTGCCTCTTTGGCGGTAGTGGAGGGGGCTTAATGGGGGTAATATTGGTTGCAGGTCGGGGAGGCGGTTCTGGGGCAATTTCAGCTAGTTCAGCACTTGAGCCAGATAATCGCGAACTGTCCATGTCTGTTATCTCAGGAAAACATGCAACTATTGGTGGTGAAGGTGTTACAACTGACCTATTACGCAACGTGACACTTTCAAGGATGCCTTGACTACTAGGTGATTTTCGGTCCGAATGAGAAGGAGTTGGTACCATCTGAGGAGTAGGACTTGCTTGAAGAGGTTGCACACCACTACCACTGTCTACTGTCATTTGTTTCATGAGCCGAGATGAACGTTGAGATGATTTTGGACTGGGCAGTTTCACCATGCCAGTAGCAAGGGAAGTCTGTTTAGAGAGCCTCGTTTTTGATTTGGCCTTTGACAATGTACCAGATGGGCTGGAAAGTGGACGAGGTGTGGCTGACGAACTAGGAAAAGGAGGAAGAGGTAATGAACTTTCAACGTTTTTTTCGGGGGGTAGGGATACACGTAAAGGACCATGAAGTGTCGGTTGTGATGAAACCGACGACATTCCTGCTTCGACGTGGGGAAGTGGTGATGATCTTTTTGTATCTCCATCAGTAGTTGCCGGCAAATCTGTAAATGGAGTTAAGTCTTTTTTTCCTCTCCCAAACATAGTGAAATCTGCAAATCCAGTATCAAAGGGATCATGAGAACTTCCGGGGGGAGGAAACCCTCCTATCTGTGAAAAGTCGTCTTCCGCAAAGGGATCAGTCTTATCAAAAGGGTCCGTGTCTTTAAATGGGTCAATGTCAATTGGTTTGATTGATGTAAAAATGCTGGATGTTGAGGTAGAAACTGTCGTAGTATTGACACTTGTGTTAGTAGTAGTTGTGGTTTCAGCACTGGACAACACATCTTTGGACGATGGACACGACACACTATCATTCACATTTAAACTGCTGCTACCTGTATCAAATGTTGCATGAAACAATGGTGCAGTTGCTTCTGAAGATGGAGCCTCAGTCACTAAATCTTTTAACACTTTCTTTGGTGGATTTTTCAGCTCTTGGAAGAAGTCTTTTCTGTCTACATATGGTTTTACACGCCCTGTACCCAGTGGATCTAACTCTGTGAAGACATCAAATTGGCCTCCAGTCTTTGGTATAGATTCTGTTTGAATTTGCTGAAGTTGTTGAGTTGGTGGAGGACTTTTTGCTGTATCTTGATTTTCCTGTAAATGAATATAAAAAAAATTACATTTGAACAAAGTTCTTTACTTATCTTAAATATCTTAAAAATAGATTCTATACCTTAAGATATCTAACAAATAGTAATGGGATTGCAGTTACTGTAAAGTCAAGCAAATGACTGAGAATGTGGATATGAGGAAAGACCCAAGAATTGGGATTGAAGATTGTGTGAAAACTGTTACAGGATCCAAAGGAAAAATGTGTCAAACAACAGAGCAATGCAAAAGAACATATATCTTAAATTTTGGTACTGATACTAAATACAGTATATAGTATCTGATGAATCTTACTTGATCTACAATTGCAGGTGGCACAGTTGGAAAACTCTGAACGTTGGTACTGGATGAAAGCGGAGGAGTAACTAATTCACCTTCATCAAATAACGACTCTGTCTCCTGATCAAACCAATGTTTCTCTTGCTGTTGCACTGGAGCTGCTTGCACAGGCAATGGCTTACTAACATTATTTGTCACTGGAGCAGCAGCAGCAGCTGCAGCTGCTGCAACGGTCTCTGTAGCTGTTGCTGCAGGAGAAGGGCGAGATGTTCGTCGCAGTGTGTGACGACCCGAAGGAGGTACATTGAAAGGATCTGATGATCGGGGTGTGTCTTTAGCAGAGGGCGGAGGTGGCAAGATAGCAACAGTTTGTTGTTTCGAAGATTTAGAGGCAGGAAACATGGTGGAAGGTGTGAAAGAATCACCAAAGGGATCTGTAGCAAAAGGATCTTCTTTAGTGGAGGGACCAAATGGATCTGAAGGTGTGATTCTCTCCATTTGATGTATGCCTTGCTGAATACTGTTCAGTTCAAACTCCAAATCCAACAGATCAGCTATTACCTCTGATGTTGGTTGGGATGTCTTTGAAGAAGATCCTCCTGTACCATTTTCCTTCACTGTGTCTTCTTGAATTGTTCTCATTTTGGCTGCTGCTTGATCTGAACTGCTACTTCCATTCTAAAGGAAGAAAAAAGTTATTAACTTTTATATTTCTTTTAACACAATTGCATCTCATCAATTATCCCATAATAATAAGATGATGGTATACTGAAATAAAAAAAATAGTTACCTTAGAACTGGAAGTTGAGTCCACAAACAAACCAGCTCCTAACTTAATTTGTGTTTGTTCTATGTGCTGTTTAGCCAACTCTATTTCTTTCTTTTTGAGTTCAAAAACCACTTGAAATAAATCTCTCATTGCGATGACTACCTAATTTAGGAAATTATCTCATTAAAATACAATGAACAACAACAGATCAAAAGGGGAAAAAAACTCATCCATTGTAATGTTCATGCACTGAAATAATTTCAAATCATGTTAGGGTATGAATGAGGTAATCAGCCCACAATACGTATATATAACAGTATTGTGGTGAGATTATCTCATTTATACACCTAATATGAACTATTGCAAGATTTCAGCTGAAACCATGAAGATATTAAAAAGTTTGTTGTTTTACCTGACTAGCAGCTTTGTCAGTTTTTATTCCAAAAAACCTATGACCAGTATCTGGTGAACCAAAAATGTATCCAAATGCTCTTGAATCTGACATGTCTTGGGCAATGAAAGATATTTTGTGAACCGGGTGGTGGTAGAGACAATCCTGTGAAACATATTAAATTTCTTTATGTAGGGCAACAGATAAATAAGAACATTAAAACTAAACTTTTGATTTGTAAAAATTATTTTATCTGAGGAAAAATAATCAGCTGTACTTACCCCTGTTTTTTCATCTCTCAGTCTTAAACCATCAATGGCAATGTTTATGTTAATTCTCTGCTTGTGCTCTCCAGCGGCCCGTATTGCCATCTTCAAGTCAGCCAATGCCTCTTGGCACATTCTATCTCCTCGAGCTTCACTCACTTCTAAAATACCGATTAACTTTGCCTTGAAGCTCACCCCTTCTCCCAGGAAGCGTGATGGCTCATTCTTATCTAGAACATAAAAAACAAATAAAATGTAGATACATGATATTTAAATACATAATAATTAACACAAATGAATCATAAATTTAATCTTCATATTGCATGCCACATACTATGGTATGCAATATAAAACAAATAAAACAAAACAAACATTGAAATTGAAAAACACCAGTATGTGAGATTACTCCAGTTTACAGTAAAAGTAAACATTCAATAATGTTCATAACTTCAATTTTCTTTGAATAAAGTGATTGTACAGCTGTAATATATCACATGTTATATCACTTCAAGAACATAGTAGAAACAAATGACCCTCCCATTTTACAGAGAAATGTTCAAATAACAAGTGATATCATTGAATAATAATTCCATTTACTTACATTTACAAGGGCTTGTTTTCTTCCTTAGTGTTTGCATGGGATTTCTCCTACCTTCCTTAAAGTGCAAAACACTGCAAAAATTCTCCCAATATGCCAGATTTCAATTAAAGGAACAGCAATGGCTACCTACTCCCCATGCTTCATGCTAATGTAAGAAGCTGCTACTTATTGTCTTTCCTGAGCCACTGTATAACACTTCAGATTACAAAAACACTATCAGAATTAACTAAGTAGAGCCTACAAAATGATAGCACCACTGTGTTGCAGAAATGTACTACCCACACTGGCTCCTGCATTGATTTCCAGCTCAGGGAAGGGTTATATACATTTCATTGATCCACAGCAGGGATGTGGGCAGGGGGTGAGTTGTGCCCATGCCCAGTGTGTGCACCCCTTGATCAATACAGCCAGTTCCTCCACGTTCCTGCCACATCAAGTTCTCCTAATGTTTTGTGTTAACTGTTAGTAGTTCCCACGATATTAAAGTTTTATTTGTGGTGTTATTAAGAACTTCTATTAGATTGTGTTTCTTACAGCCTACATTTCTCTGCGCCATTTCCCTGGCTTGTGATTGTGCTTGTGATGTTAAACAGATGTGAATTAACAACACACAGAAGTTTGTTTTTGTGCAATTGTGCGGGTCGTTCTTTGATACTATGTTGCAACTACGAACGCTGGCTGATTTACGAAACGACAATGAGTTATAGCAAAGCGACGATTTCACGAACGTTAACTCTGAATGTCTATGCACGATTTGATATTTTAACATTTTAATATTTCTGTTGAAATTATTGTACTACATTAAATGACCTGTGAAGAAGGAACGGCAGGGACGAGGCATCAGGGGCTGTTTTTTTACTGAGAAATTTTACGCCTACGCATGAAGCCTTGCTTTCTTGTTGTGGGATACAAAATAGCAGGATGACAGCATTGAATGTGTAGTAAAATTTATTCAGTTAATCTTAACAGTATTTACAAATTTTGCTTCAATTATATGATAGTTTGTTTACTTATAATATCGGTGGAAACCAGGAAATGGAGTAGGTTTGTCGCTGATAATGCATTCTTGAAAGACGTGCGTGTATTCGACTTTGTTTCACCGTGGACCCAGCCGCCCCCAGCAGTTTCGTGTGGTTGGAGGGCGTCAGACAGCTATTTCCTGTCCTTTGCCTATCATGTTCAGACAACCGGAAATGTCACTAGCTTCACAAACAGCCAATGTCCCCTCTTTTCACTCTTTCCGCCCCATTCAAGAGACGCAGCCAGGAGTTTATTGGAGGAGGTAATTTTAATTTAGTACCCTCCCCGATAAGTTCATTCAAGAAAAATTAGGCCTACACTTATTAGGATATTAATTTATTCTTGAAATATCATCCGTTCGGACTTGTTGTGGATACTACTCCCTGTCTGGTACTCCCCACTTGTACGTTAGACTGAAGTGTTTTCAACTAACATCAGATATCACAAAATAACATCAGATAATGCAATATCACACAATTATTCGGATTGTCACCAGTAACGATGTAAAACACGTAAATATTTATTTTGCTTTTGTAGTGTATTTTCTTTTGTAGAATATTCTTACAATGAGGAATTGATATAATTCATTTTTGTGCTATTATTGCATTTATTTAAACTGGACAGCCTGGTAATAGGGGGCGGGCGTACGTGACGTTCGATTCAGATGCTAATTTGAGACAACTAACCTTTGTTAATTGCACGTCATTCACAATTGTTGCCACAGCAATATTACTTTTTGTCATTACATAAACATTACCATTTTTGTATACTATTTTAATTTCTTTTTATATTTTTGTTTCTTTTTTAAAAATGATTTTACATGCAATTGCCCTAATACAATTAAAATATAAAATAATTATTACAAATTACTAAAAGTATGTAATTAATTCGTAAGTCAGACAGTAAAAGTCTGTACATTTCTTTCATAAAATAAAGAACTTGATATTTTTCAATTCATTGGTCATTGTATATGTGATATAATATTGAGGCTGATTTTTTTCAATTCTTGAACTGTTTACCTACGTGCAATACGACTTCTTTCATCAAAAATATTTTATGAATGAAAAGAAATAGAAAGCGAAATAGATTTATATTACGAATGTGCTTTGTATCTTTTCTAAAACTATTAGTGTTAGTTTACATTCTTTTAAATTAATGAACTGTGAATACAAATTCTGAAAAATGCATTTAAAATTATCAATATTTGCGAATTCTCATTTAAAGATTCTACATTACTGAAAATGTGTCTTAAGGTTATCTTTAAGAGTAGTGTTTTTCTTAATTCATTTTATATGACTATATTTTAATTAAAATATTTATTTATCATTCGACTCCAGCGTGAAGAGTGATATAATATTTAATTCTCAATACCAAATTATTAGAAAAAACAATAAAATATCCCAATAAAATTACCTAGGAAAATGACAATGAGCAAATCCAGAGAATAAAAATGCAATTAATAAATAGGCATAATATGCACTTTAATATGGTCTACTTTCTTATACAGAAATGAACAAAGTTAAAGGTATTACTAATAAAAGTTCTGAAGTTTGGAGAGTTACAATATTGCTATTACTTTCAATATTATTTTATTTTATTTAAATTGCTATGTTCCATGATTTCAAAACATGCTCTGACCTGAAATTCGAGTCGGTACTTTCAGTTACATTGTCCGAACGAATAACGGTCGCGATTGCTAGCCTAGTTTTCGTACTGTGTTGCACTTCTTCAAGCTAGCGGTTCCGGTTTGTTACGACCATCGCTGACCGAAACGTGATTATTAAGGCTTTACAGCGATCGGTCGGCGTGCGTTTACGCCGAGTGCGCCGGAGAGAGATGGGAGATGGAGGGGGTGGGCGGGCGTTCGCTGGCCGTGACTGCGACTGACCGCTGCGCTCCGCGCCGAGTGGTTCTGAGGGCGACGCCCTGCTGCCTCATCTCGCGCCTGCGGCGATGCGCGGCAGTGTTCTGGGGAGGGGCGGTCGGACTAGGAACTTGTCTAGGGACGGTTGGTTTGCGCCCAACAATGTTTTGGCCTTGCAAGTGCAACAGGCACGCGCAAACAGGAAGCAAAATCAAATCTGCAGTTCGTTTATCAATGCAAATAAGATTACTATAACTTGGGGGTGAAAATGTATAGTTTTCAAGTTTGATAACTTTGCTTTCTTTGAAACTTTTATTCATCATTTAACTATTTATATTTAAACTGTTGGGAAGATATTTTCGAGCTGAGGAAAAGTGCGCAGATGGTACTTCTCCCCTATACGTTTCATACAGTTTTTTTCTGTTCTTTGACTAAATAAATGAAATACGTAGCCTGTCATCAGTTCACGACCATATATTTTTTCAGCTGCACATGCTAACCGAATGTTTTTTTCCATATTCAGTACAAAAAATACCTTTAATAAATTATATCAATGTCTTTTACGCATCGCTGAGATGAAATACACAATTCACTATTCCGTAGGCGGGTTAAGAGAATTGTTATATATAAATAACTCCGTGTCTTTACTATTGGTTGTTTGATGTTGGATGCTCACTTCAGCCGAAAGTAATTTGAGGGGTATCGAGTAACATGTATCCCTCTGTCACCCACGGTTGGACCATTTCCGGCTCACCGAACGAGACAAATGAGTCATTTGAAGCGTCTCGGTCTCCTAATGGGACACTGATAATTTTTATGCGGATCTGTCCAGAAAATTTTAAGACATTTCTATTATAAACGTGTTTTTTTCTTTTTCAAGCTACTAAAATGCACCAACGTTTGGAAATGTATCCCAATCATCTAGCAATAAAAATTCTCGATTAAGGCCTAGAACTATCCTGTTTCAATGGAATCTTCCCTACATCTCCCTTACCGCTTTCATACTTAACATACCGGAACAAAATCCTTCATTTTGTTGTAGAAGCGCTCTAATGTTTACTGCCATTTTTTATTGTAACTTTCTTGCACACAAAGAAAAATTATTGAAAAAAAATTGTATTGCTGTGGGAATAAACTGCGATCTTTCGATAGGAACAACTTTTCTTGTCGAGCAGTGGTGACGAAAAAGTGGATAAATATTCTTATATGTAGTAAATGACTTCCTCTAACAAGCTGTGAAGTCAATATCCACGTTTGGTCCTTGTCACAGGAAAATTGAATTATAGTCAAATGTCTGTCCGTCTGAGAACAGCGCTAGGGGCTAAGAAGTAGGATTTTCACCAAAATTGATATTTCCCGATCGATCTGACTGATGTCGCGACCCGTTGAATTTGAAACGTATAAATTTTGATTTGAGGGCATGAAGCGTCAACAACCTTTTCAAACATTTGTAAAAAAGGACGCCATATTTTTCTTTAAATTTCTTCCTTGGATAGAACAAAAGATGCGTCAAGAAATGGCATAGATAGCATTTTCGTCGAACTCTGAATTTTCGCAAATCGCAAAAGTTTGCAAATTGCAACTCCCTACAGCTCCAATATTGAAGATAAATGCTTTTCATTAATAAAATGAGATCATCAATAACAAGTCTTGAAAAAAGTTCATGTACACTTTTTTTAAAAATAAGTAGTTTTTGAGTGAAATGAAGGCAGTTTGAAAACAATGATTTTCTCAAGAACAACCCC